AGTATTTCATACCCTGCATATCTCAAATCCCAGAAGCCTACTCCATCAGTCACAAATTCTGTTTCAGTCCCCACCCTGTTAACACTTTGTACTAAGTGGTTAGGATACTGCTGTAAACAAGACAATTAAGAATTTCTCTTCTCCAAGAGCTTTTGTTCTAGTGGATAGTGACAAAGCAAGAAACATATACACAAGCAAATAAAAAAGGTCAGGTATGGATGTGTACTATGAAGAAGATAAAATGGTGTAATGACACATAACACAGTTGGCAAACTATGGCCCATGGGCCAAATCCAGCCTGCACCCTGTTTTTGTATGACTTTCTACATTTTTAAATGGTTGAAACACATGAAAAGAAGATCTCATGAGGCAAGAAAAAAATTCAAATTTCAGTGTCCACAAAGTTTTACTGGAGCACAGCCACACCCTACGTAATCAGCCCTGGCTACTCTTCCAACCTTGATAACTGCACTTCTGGCCCCTCCTCACCCCCTCCAGCCACATCGTCCTCCTGGCTAATACCCAGACACCCAAGTAGACTCCCAGCCCCCACATGGCCACTGCCCTGATGGTTGCCTCTGCTTCCCTCACTTCCTTCAGGGCCCTGCACAAACATAACTGAATTAGAGAGGTCTCCCCTACTTGTCACTCTGTGTCCCCTCCCCTTACTTGACTTTTTTTCATGGCATTTATTAGCCCTAGTATGTTACAGATTTGCATGTTGTCAGCCTCCACCTCCCACACTTAGAACACAAGTTCTAAGAGAGTTGAAACATTGACTTCTTTCCTGCCACATTCCCAGTTCCTAGATCAGTGCCTAGATATAGTTAGTAGGTGCCCAATAAATACTCTTTGAATAAATAAATAAAGGAATTGTCAAATACTGGAATGTTCTAATAAGAGAAAAGGGAGATTCTTTATGAACTAGGACATTACAACCAGCCGAGGCTTTCCTGATGCAGGAGGACCTCAGGGTGTCTTTGCTGTTTAATGCCCCAGTGTCTTGGTAAAAACTGTAAGAACTAGTGGCAAAGGAGAGAAAAAAGTGGACTCACCACCATAAAAGCAACCTAGGAAGCAATGTTTCATTTCAGCTCTGTCTAATCTCATCTCGACTATGTTCCCAATTAAATCCAGTCTCTACTCTCTCTTCACATCCTAAGTGGTAGGAAAAAGTTAGGCCTAGAAATGTCCTCAGAAACAATTTTTCTGCCACTTGTGTCCTGATTTCTCTAACACTACCACCTCTATTCAATTGTGTTAATAATAAATGTGTCTGGGAGTTCCAGGTCTTATGATATCAAGTTCTACACAGAATCAACTGTATGTCAAATACTATATTCTCATCTCAAAAATTGTCTTTGTAAGGGGTTTATAGTAAAGGTATACTCACAAGTCTAATTCATAATCTTTAAATTAAAAAATAAGTCACAGAAGGAGGCACTATATTGAAGATATAAGGTACAGGGACTTCTGTTGTATCCTGGACACAATATGCTATAGTGATATAAAAGCTTCAATCACCAATTATAAGTGACTGACTAATTAAAAACAGGTCTATGTATAATAGAAACATGTAACTCAACACATTTAACTACAAGGTCATGAGTGAAGAAGAAATTAATGAAAACATTTCAGATGTCCTTTGTTCCAAGTACCATGCTTGACAGAAAAGTAGACCTGAGCTCCTTGGGCCATCTGATTACCAACAAAGTCAGCGGACTTTTCCTGCATGTGACTTTGGAAGTAGAAATAGGGCAGGGATTAAGAGAGGATCTACTTCCTGGAATTAAATATGGAAAACGTACAAGCGTACAAGTCAGTCCTTGTTATTCAATTCGCTTGAGAGATAATTTCAGGAGAAGGCAAGTGACACAAAGGTAAATGATGTCCTGTGAGCCCTGTAGCTTCTCATGAAAGTTAGAGGGACCCCACATTGCTGTCCATCTTGGACTATCCCAGTCTTACACAAAATTTAACACCCAGAAATATTTTTCTACCAATGAAGCTAGGAAAGAGGTTGGCTGAAAAGGTAGTATCCAGAGAAGATGAAGAAGAATGAGACAAATTTTGTCAGAAAAGGAGTTGTGAAATCCTTCCGTGACCTAAAATTATTCTTTTATTGCCATATTGCTATGTCTTCAAAAGATTTATGAAGGCTGGCTTCCCCCAGCGTCTTAAGAAGACTACCAAGATCCTTGGTGATAGGAATTGTTTATTAAATAAGCCAGAAACAATCCTGACCAGAAGGCCAATGTGAATAGCAGGCCCGTGAAGCTGTAAGAACTAATTTACCAAATGTCCACAGTACCTACCATATTGTACTTGGGGATATCACGTATCAATGTGAATCTCTGTGGATGAAGCACCTCAGAATTGTGCTGTGAATACCTTGTGCAACTGTGGGCGGGCACCTGTGGCCTTCTGATTTCAAGACTATTCTTTTTAAACCACCAAAGGAGGTAAGAAAGGCTTCATAGTTCCCTGTTGCACCCTTTTTCATAAAAGCATTTGTTATGTGAAATCGGGAGTCAGTCAAGAGGCCATACTGAAAAGCCAGGAAGGCCACAAGTTTCCTTAAGGCTGTAGGTTCCTCACCCCGAATGGGCAATTATCTGATTGTATTAGTGAGCCAAGTATGGGCACTGGGTTAACCTTACTTCTAGCAGAAAACATGCTCTTAGCCTGGGAAATTTAACATCTAACCAGTATATACAATGGATTTGAAATATCAAGGTGAGATTTTCAAATAGATTAGTCACAGTTCAAATGTTCCACGCACTGCTGGCCCCAAACAGCTAGCCTTCTGAGCACGAGCAGCGAAACTAATGAAATTAGGGTGCCTTACACTCGAATGGCATTAAACACAATTTTCCAGGATATTAGCAGATGTCTGCATGGTTGCTGGAGAAAAAAAATTATTCATGGACTCACAGAGCTGTAGTAGAGGCAATGCTAGTCTGAGCTGAAAAGCAGGACAATATTCAAAGCCAAGGCAAAGAAACATCTCCTCTTAGATTCTCTTAAGAAAAAGGTAGGGGATAAAAGAAAACTATAACCAATAGTATATATCTCATTATCCCTCAGCACCCTGTCGCATCTATGCCAAACCTCGGTTTAACTAGAGGCAACCTTTTTCTTCATATCTCAAATCATCAGTATATGTAGCTTGACTTCTTAAAGAAAATGCTGATCTATAAGACAAATTATGAATGCTATTAGTAATGTGCTGTACCTCCCAGGTGTAATTCAACTGCTTCCTTCTGTTGTCCCATTAAACAAATTTACATGCTAACAATAAATTCAAAACATTAAAAGCTTCACAGTGCCCAGGACACCTGAAGAATTCTTGGTGCTGGGTGGTGCCTGTGGCTCAAAAGGGTAGGGCACTGGCCCCATATGCCAGAGGTGGCGGGTTCAAAGCCAGCCCTGGCCAAAAAAAAAAAAGAATTCTTGGTGTTGGTACTCTTTAAAAGAGCTAAGCAATCTAAAGCATATTACTTATGTCCCACAATTCAGAGTCCTCTCTTGTACCATCAAATAAATAAATGTTTACAAGTCAAACAGAAACATTTTAAAAC